AGGTTAGGAAACGTTTTATTTAATTACAATTTAAAAGAAGTTTAGGTTAGAATTCATTTTATTTAACTACAATTTTACTTACATCTTTAAAATATTTTCATTGTTAGTTTTAATAGACTATATTTCTTTTAATAGAAGTAAATGTATTAGAATTACTTACAGTAAGTAAAATTATTTTTCCATACCAAAGTATATGTATATTACGATTTTTAAAATTTTATATTTAAATATTATTTACGTAAAATTTATGGCACTAAAAATAGCTAATTCATTTCTCTGATTTAGTAAAATTTATTTATTTATTTTTATATATAAACTTAGTAATATATAGTTTCACATGTATGTACAAAGGACATGGGTCATTCAATGGCCTACAACTTCAAGCTTTTCGTCATAATTTCATTTTTTCAGTAGGTGTTTTATATAAAGTAAACATAGAAGTCAACACTTAGAGGCGACAGTCTGTTTCACGCAAGATGCAATCGTATATATTTACATACGCTCTATCTCTGATATTGAGCACTTTATCCCATAAATATAGCACATCTTAAGACTATATATCTTCATATATATATATATATATATATATATATATATATATATATATATATATATAAGACAGATAAATCAAACGGCTAGAAATAGGCAAGGTGTGGTGTGTATATGCAGGCAAGCAAATAACTAATCGTCAAATTTATTACATGAAGTATAAACATAATAATGTTCGATGTTTTTAGACAGAGCAAAGATATATGTACTATATACGTATATGTACTAATTAGCGTATATATATATATATATATATATATATATATATATATATTAAAAAAGAGAGAAACCGCAAACGAATGACTTTATTACCACTTAGTCAGGAAGTCACTCTTGCTAAAAGTCAAAAAAATGAGATCAAGGCTTACAACAAATACAGAAAATGAACAATGAAATATTAAAAGAACAGCGAAATTTTATTCTTTTAAAAAACTGATTCCTTTAATTTGCTTGAAGGTCATAAGACCGGTAACACGTGTAGGAAAATAAGAAGAATAAAATATAAGATATACACTAAAACAAATCCACATTATAACCAAGAACGTTTGCAGTTTCTCTCTTTTTAAAATATACATTTTTCTCTCATTATGACAATTATAATCTTTTCCCTATATATATTTCGTTTCATCTTTTGGAAGTGCTATCTGATGATCCAGAGTCCTTTAAAAGGGCTCTGGTGAAATAAATTATTATAATGGAACCTTAAAGTGGTCTGTTTTTTTTTAATATATATATATATATATATATATATATATATATATATATATATAAACCTCCCTGGCAAGTGGACTGTGCGATTACAAAAAGGTTCGTTTACAAAACTCTCTTATGTCTTTAACAGATAATATACTGATACCTATATATATATATACATTCATTTTATTCGTGTGTGTGTGTATATGTAGATGTCAGTTCGCTCTATAAATACTAGTGGCACTAAGTAACCAAGTACTACCTGTCGCATATTTCAGTGACTAAATTGATTCCCTACCAGGCATTTCTGGTAAGAATGGTAGCAAGACACCCAGCGGAAAAAGGGCGGATGAACCTTCTTATAAGATTAATGGCTTTTTCTAACACAGTGGGGAAGACTGCATTACGTAGCTATGTAGACATCTAATGCTGTGGTAATCGTTCAAATTGGTGGGAAATCGACGTTGTAGTGGGATGGGTGCGACCAGGTGTACCTATCCATGACACATGAACGAATACCCCTCCGTCTTTTAACACAGATATTTGGAGGGAACTAGTCAGGTGCTCATCTGCACAGCGACCCTACGGCCAAACCCAGTCATGGAACTGATGATTATGATGACGATTATGATGATACATACATGTAGAGAGAGATATATAAGATAATTCGAAAATAATTTTAAATTATTTTATAAAATAAATTATTTTTAACTTAATATAAAAATAACGAAAATGAGAAACTCGGCATTCAATTGCTGAATCCTCCTGACGATTGGACCGAACGATTATAAAAAGGTTATTCTACGAAACTCTGGGGTTGGGGTGCTGAATATAATATCAATCAGTTAAGTGGCACATTCTGATATTTGTATTAATCCTGTATATATATATATATATATATATATATATATATATATATATATATATATATATATGTATGTATGTATGTATGTGTGTGTGCGCGCTGCGTGTGTGTGTGTGTGTTAGCGCACGCGCGTTAATTTTCTCAGACTAAATCTGCAGAGAAGACAAATTGAATAAAATAGACAATCGGAAAATAGTACTTAGTTCTTGCCGCTTTTGTTTATCATCACTTGCCTTGATATGACGAAACGCGTCGGCAAGGACTAAGTACTATTTTTCTATTTTCTATTTTATTCATATATATATATATTGGGGGAAAATGTATGACAAAGTGCAAAAAATTTTCGTGTGATGCGTTTCTTCATCGTACTAAATTTGTTATGTTGGTGCAACTACACATGCGCACGACCGAGGGATGTTGGGAATTTAAAATTTTAATTTTTTTTGTCATATAATCTTGCCGGTTTTATGATGGAAAAAAAAAAAAAGAATCTAAATGACTTGACTGACAACCACTATCGCAGTGATGATGACGTTATATATACTGTTGATGACTTTTTTTTTTACCAACGATGAAATCCTCTTCATCAGTGGAATCCAAGAACTGCAACACCGATGTAAGAAGTGTGTGAATCTCAAGGGGGGTAAAATAAGCCTCATTTGATCACATCCCATGAGATTATCTCGGTCAGCCCATGAACTTTTCAGCTGACCTTCGTATTACGCATCTTTCTGTTTTTGTTTTTTGCTTTTTCTTCTGTTCATTTTTTACTCGTATGTATATGGTTTGCCTCAATTACAAGTTCTGGACTATTCTAACATTCTTCCCTTTACTTGTTTTCATAGCAGTTGAAATATATCGTTGTGTCGTAACTTATCAAATGCTTTTGTGTGATCTATGAAACAGAAGTACACATCCTTCTGCATTTGTATAACTTTCTTTGATATCATTCGGATAAATATAGCATTTCTTGTTCCAGTGTCCTTGACTAATCCACACTGGTCTACTTCCGATCTAATTCTGCTTCGCACTTTGTTCATCAGAATTCAGATTATTAGCTTGTTTATGTAGCTGATTGTCCAATTCATCCGCACCTGGCTTTTTAAACAGCACTAAGAAGATAGGTCTACTAAAATATTTCGCCTCTGTCGTATATTCCATTTATTATTGCTGTCATCTTCTCGATGCTGAAATCGTCCAAGACTGAGAATATTTTATTACAATCCCAACTGATTTTGCTGATTTGCTCCTGTTCATCTTGTCCAGTGCCGATATTAATTCAGACTTTTACATTTACTGTCCTTCCATATTTTTGTGTATTCCGACTTTTTTTTCTCATTCGTCGGGAAATAGTTCTCCGATGTATTCGCTCCATCTTTGAAGTATTTTTTATTTTTCTATCATGAGTGTTATCTTTCTTGATTTTATGCAACCTGTTGATGAGCACATCTTCTGGCTTATTAGTTCTTTTATTCTTTTGTGCATGCTTGCCTTATCTATAATCTTGATTCTTTCTGTTTCCACGTGCTTTCCATTGAGGCATTCCTCTTTTGCCTGTCTGCATTTCTTTCCTATTTCTGCATTTAATATCTTTTATATCATCTCGAGAATTTCATCTGTCATCCAATTGTTTTTTTCTCTTTTGTCTCGTTTCCCTTGCGATGATAATCTTATTCACCAATGATTAAGCAGGTACATACCTTTAAGTAACTGAGAAGTGTAGAAAATGTGATACAGAAGTCCGAATGCCTATTGGAATAGGAAAAGATGGCATTCAGAAACTAAGTAAAGTATTAAGAAATAGGGAAATGTTATTAGAAACAAAGAAAATTGTGCTAAGTTGCTTTGTTATATCTAACCTCTTATATGGAAGTGAATGCTGGGCATTTACCTTATAGATGAAGAAGAAACTTGAAGAGGTAGAAATACTGAAAATACTAATGGTCTGAATATGTGAGCAGTGAGAATGTTTTAAAGAAAATGGTAACTAAAAGGAAACTTATACTTAAAATCAGAAAGAGATGGTTGAAATTTCTGGGAAATATTACGAGGAAAGAGGGCTTGGAGAATGTAAAACTCATAGCACATACTGAGGACAATAGCGTTGGAGGAAAACAGAGATTTTGTGATGGCAGAGCTGGGACAAAGACGGATGGTAGAGTCAAAAGTTGCTTAGAGCTACAAGGGAGAACCATGATCGTCTATGAAGGGGCACAACATATAAAAGAAGTGTATCTAATTATAACAGCAGAAAACACTTGTCTGCTGAAATCTTGACCCCTTAAGTTAATGGCCTCTCTTCCAGGGAGGTGCAGGTTATCTTTAACTTTCATCAGCCAATTTATTCAATTGCTTTCTTGACTGAAATAATAAATACACAAATAATAATAATTATTATTAGTAACTACAATAACAGCAACAATTATAATAGCAATAACAATAATATAAACGATTACAACAACATTAATGAGAACAACAGCAACAACAATGGAAATACCAATAACAGTAACAATAACATTATAAACAGTTACAGCAACATTAATGACAACAATAACAACGATAGCAATAAAAATGATATAAACCATTACAAAAACAATGATAATAATATAAACAATTATAACATTAATAATAACAACGTTAGCAATAACAACAACAACGACAACAATATAAATAATTACAACAATATTAACATCAATAGAAATAACAATAATAATATAAGCAATTACAACAACATTAATAACAACAATAACAACAACAATGAAAAATATAAACAATTACAACAACAATAATAACAAAAACAAGAATAATAATAAATGTTCCGGATGCTACAGCAGGAATAACTGTTATGGCTTTTGATCATAACTGATTCGAGGTGTTAATATCTATAAAAGATATCACGTCCGATCAAAGAAGTTAAGCAACGTCAAGCCAGGATAGTACCTAGATGGGTGATCGCTTGGGAAGACCAGCTGCTGTAATCTTTGGTTGGGAGTTGTGTAATGGTTAACGGCTCGGAATGAGAAATCAGAGAATCGAGTTCGAATTCTAGTCTAGTTACAAATACGCTTGGGCGATCATTTATCGCCCACATCCTGCCCCTACCAACATGCATTGGGCCAGCACGGTAGGTTAATGACGCATTCCTCCCCATGAATCCGGGGAAGGCCGACGCCCCCTCCCGCTAAAAGCTTCACACGTTGGAAAGCTAATAAATGCCCCCTTCAGAACCATAAATATTCTTGTCAGTTGCCTGGATTTGAGGATATTCCTTACGGGCTGACACATGGTGCATATCTATTGATGAGCGGGAGTGGTAGAGGAACATCATGGCGGTGTGTCGAAAGCTTTGAACTCATAATAATGTCTCTAAATAAGCGCCAGTTAGTGAATAATTAGTCATCAAATTAGAGTTGGTTAGTGAATAGTTAGAATAAGAAAAATTAGGTACTAAATTAGGTGGAGGGTGAATGAGGAGAGGGAGAAATAAGAAAACATGTTGCAAAGAAAATATATAACAGATTGAAAATAGTATAAAAAGGAGATGAAGAAAAAGGAAGAAAATAGAGGATCAGAAGAGAGAGAGGACGAGAGAAAGAAAGAAAGAAAGAAAGAAAGAAAGAAAGAAGGGCTATTTAGGCCACAAGAAAGGTTAAAAGAAAAAGGAAAGGAAAGAAAGTAAAAGCTATACTTAAGAAATAGTAAAAGAAAGAAAGAAATAATGAATTAAAAAAGAAAGAAAAGAAAAAGGCTAAAAAAGAAAGAACGAACGATAAAAAGAAAGAAAGAAAAGAAAAATGCTAAAAATTGAACGAACGATAGAAAGAAAGAATGAAAGAAAAGAAAAAGAAACAAAGAAAAGAAAAATACTAAAGAAAGAACGATAGAAAGAAAAAATAAAAAGAAGAAAAAAAGAAACAAAGAAAAGAAAATGCTAAAGGAAGAAAGAATGAATGATAGAATGAACGAATGCAAGAAAGAAAGAAAGAAAGAAAGATAGAAAGAAAGATCACATCAAAGAACAACAAACGGAAAGAAAGAACGTAATTGTATTAGAAATGAAATAAGGTTATAAGAAAGAAAAAAAACAAACGAAGAAAAGAAAATGCTGAAAAAAGAAAGGACGAATGAATGAATGAATGAATGAATGAGCAGACATTTTTCAACCGACAGCCACTCAGAAATATTCTACAAAACTAGAACACTCTTGCTGACGTTTTTGGAAGAATATGATGTGTCATATTGCATTGTGTCATATTTTCTCTCCAATCCTTTCTACCCACTTCCTTACTCACTGATTAATAAAAGGACGCGTAGACGACTTTCAATAAACTTACTTAACCTCTTCCACACTGTCAGCCGAACTTTGATACTCAAACTGTCAATACTGAAACCATTGCTCATGTATTCTTGGTGCTGAATGTACAGTCTGCATTCCTTTTTATTCATTTGATACTTCATCTTAAGAAATAGATGGTACTCATGAAAGATGAGAAACAGAAAAAGCACCGACTTCTGAAAAGCGAAATCGTCATAACTGGCAAGTAAGCCGACTACAAGATACCGAAACTAAAGGAGTTGTTATATATGACATTATTCAAAGAAGGGTCTGTAGTCTAATCGATCCTGACTCGGCATATCGACTTCAGTTATATCTATATTTCTGTGATGAGCTATTGTAACTCTTTCTACTAATTACAATGTCCGGACTGTTGTCCTCATCTTTCAGACTTGGCACCAAGTCTCCCGGTCAATTCAAGGAGAGCCCGTCTAGTCACAGAGACTAGTGGGATAGATATATAACTGCTCCAAAAGTAATGCCTCTTATCGATTTCTACGAGAACTACAACAGATACAGGAAGCAAATAACACTTTGGAGAGAGCATGTTTTCAGCTACAAAACACTATTTTCCCATAAAGACACCGCGATTGCCAATGCATTTTCAGAGCGCTTTTGATTTTGTGGGCGGACAGCTGTACAAGGCTGTTCAGAACGTGGTTTGTGTCATAAACGGATTACCCACTTCCTAACTGTGCTTACATCCATTGCTTGGTCTCTATAATTTTTCAACAAGCGTCTGTGAATGTCAATGTAGATAATTATTCTGCATGGAGAAATTCAGTGGCACCATGCTTCGTATGCACTTTCTTGACAAACACAATTTTGCTAGGCTACTAATCTGTAACAAGACAAAACAAAAATGACGGGAAAATTAACGGGAATAGAATACGCTTATACAACATGGGAAATACGTCCATATCACGTTGAAACACCGGATTTCGTACGATCATTGAAATTAAGCAACATCGAGCCTGGTCAGTGCCGAGATGAGTGACCGCATGGTAGTACCAATTGCTGCAAGCTTGGATGTTCGGTGGTGTAATGGATAACAGCTGATAATTGGAAATCGGAGAGCCGTGTTCCAATACCTATCGGGTTCGTTATATTCACGCACGCGCAAATACCCTTTGGAAGGATATGAATCCGCTTCTTGTCCCTCCCAGCTATGGGTCAAATAGTAGGACTTGTATCGGTAAATCATTATTATCTCCATAAAATTCTTACAATCTAAAAATAGTTTCTGGTTTTTAAATAACCTGCAAAAGGTTGATAAACTGTAAAAAAGAATTTAATCAATCAGACGAGATGATTTCTTTGTTTAATTCTTAATTTGAAGTGCTTTATCGATAGGGATATATAAAAAGTGAACTCCAAATTATGAATTTCAATTTAATTCTTTTTTTTTTGCATATTCAGAAATCACGTTGTATTAGTATATTTTGTTTTGGCTTTCGTAGGGAGACCAATTTATAATGAATTTATAGATCAAACTGGGTCAAGTTTTTTTAAAATTTAATGTTTCTTTTTTCGATATTCATGAATATTCTATAGAGGTATAGAATACCTCTCTACCGGGCGTCAATAGCTTAAGGGTTGAACCTCCGACTGATGTCAAATCAGCCGGGTTTCGATCCTAGCTTGAAGTGATCGGATGTCTAGCCACGCTGATGTGTTGTGATACAGCGAAACAGTCTGTGGATTATATATATATATATATATATATATATATATATATATATGAGAGAGATTTCCTTCCATAAGCTTACACATGCTTTAATCAAACTCACTATAGGAATTAATGGACTGTATAACAGTGAGTTCGATACGCTTAAGATGCCCGACTAAGTCGATCCTGTGCCAAACTTAACTCAGCTTTTTACTTCCTGTGTAAAGTGAGGCTGGAAATGCCCGTATACTTTGTACCAAACAGAAGAACAGGCCGAAAATTAGCGTTGTCAATTATTTGACCTGTGTTCACCAAAGGCGGGAAGAAAGAGTCCCCAGAAGCACATCCGGGTGTTTAGACTTCTCCCCGACCTTAGTTGTGTGATAGGTGAGTGGAAAGGGTTTGACGGAAAGAATGGGTAACGGTCAGTACCATTAGTCATGGGGTTGCTAATCAGTAACAACGGAAGAAGAGTGGCTATTCTGGTTAGTGGCTCAAGTGTTTAAAGTTTGGTGTGTGCTGAAGAATGAAGAACGGTGGTGTAGGGCAAAGAAGAGAAGAAAGGAAGACTGCCATTGAAAGAACGGACGGGAATGAGGGCAACCAATGGTTAAATTAAAGACCTCATCATCGTTCTTTCTATCCATTATTCTCCCTTAACGCTCTCCGCTTCCTACACTTTTATCGCTCACTATTTTTCTCTCTCTCTCTCTCTCTCTCTCTCTCTCTCTATATATATATATATATATATATATATATATATATATATATATATATATCCCATCTCTTTTTTTTTTTTTTTTCTTTTCTTTCGCCCATCCTTTTGTTCCTTTGTTCTCTATCTCGTTTTTTTTTATATTCCGCCCTATTTCATCTCTCTTACACTCACCTCTGCTATTTTTCTATCTTTCCTCGCTACCCACTCTCTCTGTGATTTGTTTCACTTTATCTATCTCGTTACTTCTCTTTGTGATCAGTGTCCGGATACTATGAATATCTCAAGAACCGGTTGCGCGGCCTTTTGGCAAAATATCGCATTGCCCAGTTTTAGAATTGGCTCCTTACAATTTATAGCTTACCCCAAACATTAAAATTGCTGTTGAAAGAGAGATCTCAGACTATGGGTGAGATTAAGGAGGACGAAACGAAGCAGATAATGGCGATACTCAAAGACGACTTTTAAAGCTATTTTGAAAAGTAAAAAGGTACTTGGAGCAAGCGTATGATGCCTCCAAGGAGAGTAGTTTGCAGAGGACTAAGGCGTCATTGCCTTATTACGTCGTAATATTAAATAGCTGGATGCTTTTCGGACATCCCTCTGACTAATATATACATACACGTGTGTCTGTCTGTGTGTCTGTGTCTGTGTGAAGGAGCGAGTGAAAAAATATTCGTACGTTGTATGTATTTTCTATGTATTTTCAATGCCACAAATGCCATGACAATCCGTCAAGCTGTTCTTGTGTCAACTTGTGAAAAACAAGCTCATAAATTTCATGCTTTTATTCCAACCACAGCAGATGGACAACAGTTTTCATTTCTAGGTGGGAGCTGCAAATTTATTTGTTTAGACACCGAAGTTCCATCTTCCAGATCGTTACTCCTTTTGGCTCTTACTATCAATAAATTGTCACTATCATTTCTGTTAGTCACGTTGAAAAAAAGAATAAATAAATAAATAAATAAATAAAGAAAGAAAGAAAGAAAGAAAGAAAGAAAGAAAAGGATAAAGCTAATATTTAAAATATAATCTTCTCCGTGATGCTCTGTGATTTCTGTATCGTACATTTAAGAATTCCAGGCCTTCGATCTGGGGTGAAAATATAATACCTGTTTTCCTCCTATGGATAGCGGCTCGGATTGAGGAATCGGAGAGCCGAGTTCGAATTCCAGTCGAATCCATTACATTCACTTACATGCTAATACCCTTGAGAAAGGTATGAATCCTCATCTTCTCTCCCCAGCTATGAATAAATAGCAGGTCAGAACGGATTCTATAGCCTTGGATAGCAACTGGTCTACTGCAGAAAGAAATAGCAACCTACTGCGGGAAAAAAAATCTGCCTCGTCAGTCATGTAACGAGAGATGCATGATCGCCTTAGCGTGTATCACGGATGACACATAACTGACATTAATATATAAAGGATGCCTGTTTCAATGAATTCCAAAACCTGCGACAGCACCTCTATCATTGCGTCAAAGAAGTTAGCTTGTTGGATACTGACGTCAGTATAACAGTGGTCGTGAGGACTGGGCTTTTCCCCTTGGCCTATATGTACGCGCATATGTACTCTATATTAAACTGACTTGTGTCACATCCTGCCGCCGTCTAGAAGCGAGTAAATACAAATTTCTGTATCTGAGAGACGCTCCCATTTTGAATTATCACCTCTTTTCTATTTAACACGAAAAAAAAAAAAAAAAAAAAAAAAAAGGGGAAAAAAAAAACACTTATCACAAACCTATTTTCTCTGTCGAGTTTTATATATAACGACTGGCGTCATTTCTCAAGGAATGACTAAAAAAACGAAGATAGTTTTTTTTACACAGATTTATGTTTATTTTCTCGCAAAAGCCTAGTTTTAAATGATATTGTTAAGAGATCAAATATTACGGCGACTTTTTAAGGGTAGGTGAGATGTGGTACAAGGCTGGAAGTGTGGGGCGCCCAGTGAGGATCGAACTCACTATTCAGTCGTAACTAATTTAGCGAAACAAACTTGCTACCCATTACATCACGTCGAGCGCCCTATGTCTTTCTAAGCGTAGCTTAGATGTGGCACACGGCCGAAAGTAGAGGGAATCCAATGAGGATCGAAGTCACCTTTCAGTCACAATTGATCTAGCGAGACAAGCTTGTTAACCATTACACAAGGTAGAAGTGTCCAAATGATTTTCCAAGCGTAGTTTACATGTGGCACAAGGTCAAAAGTGTGAAGCACCCAGTGGAGATCGAATTCATTACTCAGCCGCAATTGGTCTAGCGACTCAAGATTGCTAACCATTACACAACGTAGAAGCCAAAGCTAAGCAACATCGAGCCTGTTTAGTATCTAGATGGGTGACTGCTTCGGAATATCGGGTGATGAAAGCTTGGATGTGCGGGTGGTGTAATGCATAACGGCTCGGAATCGGAGAGCCGAGTTCCAATTCTAGTCGAGTTATCTTCATTTATACGTAAAATACCCTTGGGAAAGTACGAATCCATCCCGTCTCCTCTCAGCTATTGGTTAATTAATAGGACTTTTATCAGTAAATCATTATTATCATCCAAAAATTGTTACAGTCTAAAAATATTCTATGGCTTTAAATAACCTGTAAAGGGTTGATAAGCCGTAAAACAAATCAACGCAACGTTACAGTTTTTCTAGCTTTACTAAAATATATAACTCGTTTATAGATAGACGATGGTATAGTTTATAGATATACTTTTGCTGGGGTTTTGTCAAATAAAAGCATTTGACATTTCCTTTCTTTCTTTCTTTTTTTCATATCTTTTTTTTTAAAGCGGTATTGTGCCATGCAATAAAGCTAGTAAAACACCGCTGGGGTTACATGGTGTGGAAGAATTAGGAACACGAACATTAATAATGAGCGGGAAGAGAAAAGAGTAATCAGGAGGATAGTAGATAGCAATTGGCATTACATTTAAATTTTTGAAGATTAAAGTTGGCTAGAAAGCATGAAGCGAGAAGTACGAGAAAAGAAACTTTTAGCACAGAATTTATGGTTACATCCCCCCCCCCAGCGCAACTGGTCTCTCAGATGATTAGTGGAGAGAAGTTTAGTGTTTGAAGAGTTAAAATTAACAAGCCATCTTTTTGTCCCAGTTAGCAATAGACTGCAGGTCGTTTTGGTCATTCAGCTGCCATTTTGACCATATCGAATTGATCAGCCTTACTATCGAGGCAGGAGTAAATGGTTGTAATCAGCGTAAATACCAAGTTAAGAGCTATTTCCATCGTTAATGTCATTAATAATAATTAAAAACGGTGTACGATCATGGTTGGAACGCTGAGAGACACCCGCATTAGTACGACAGTATCTAGACAAGTGTCTGTTCGAGATAACCTTCACTTCACGATTTGATAGGAACATAGTTGCTAGAAATTCAAAGACGCAAATTTATAACTCATCTAACAGAAAATTCGATTACAGCCACATCACGTTGAAACACCGGTTCCCGTACGAAGCAATGCCGAGTCTGGTCAGTATCTAGATGGGTGACCGCTTGGGAATACCAGGTGCCGTAAGCTTGGATGGTGTAATGGATAATGAATTGGAATTGTTGGGGAGCCCAGTTCCAATTCGTGTTGGGTTCGTTATATTCACTTACGCGCAAATATCTTTGGAA